GTCGACGTGGCGTGGTCATGTTGTTCCATGGTGTAATTATGTTGTGGGCTTTGTCTTGCAGCGTGGTCACGACGAAGGAGGCTCCGAGTAACATGAAGGAAGGTCTGACTTGTTCACACCATCCTACTGCGTTATTATGTCATGGGCTCTATCTTGCGGTGTGGTCACACCAACTTCGAGTGTGGCCATGAAAAAGGTAGTCACTTCAAACTCTATAGGGAGGGAGTACAAGTAGCCACACCCAATTTGGGGGTGGCCACGCCAGACCCTTAAGTTTATTTATTTTTTCATTATAGCTTCGGATGCCCGCTAATGCGCCACATGACACAAAAAGCTCTTAATGATCAGATAGGACCACACATGCCTTTGAATGATTGTTCGGCTTGCCCTATAACAGGAAACCATCACAGATCAGTGGTAGTTGTTGTCGAGGATGATCAAGATAGGGTAAACCCTAGTCCTTAGACGGAGTGCTTGACCTGATAGTCTCCTTGAGCTATGCGAGGGCACGTGTGAGTGTCGTATGCACACACAACATCACAAGGGCATCAGGTACTCGTGACATAAAAAATTGATGCCAACAGTCACATGTGAAATGTCATGAAGGGCCTACAAATAGTGAAACCAAATGCGCTCGATGGTAAATTGAACTCGGCTTATTAACCTCACATAGGATCTAGAGTTGATGATGAAGTCGTAGCTAACATTCATTACATAACGTAAAGAAGGACCTACCTCTAATTGTTTGACAGAACGTGAAGGATCTTTTCCATTAAAAGAAAACCTTCATGAAAACGAAGGTTTTCCCTCAAAGATATAGCCTTCACAATCTAGGGATCGAGGATCAAAGGAATTCTTTATTCTCTATAACGAGGTGGCTTTAACCCATTCATCAAGGGATGAAGCTGCCAAACAATCACAAGATTACTAAGCTCCCAGCTGATTAGGCCAATGTGCTAGGGATTGAGGAGAACTCTCAAGGATTCGTTGGGGCTAATCAATGAAAATGACTCCATAATATATCGGTCTTCTATGAAATGTAATCTTAAACTTAATTCTCTAACATCATACCTTAAATGGCTTAGTATGAATGAAATTGCAAGAGTATGGAGGTTATATTACCTGCATGATGATTGAAGGTGTGTTCTCTGGGCTTGATCCTAGCTCTAACCTCACACCGATGAAGATAGTTTCACTTCTTCTCCAAAGATGGAACAAGCTCTCCTTCTCAAGGAAGAATACTAAGGAAGCTTCAAGAAAATCCTCCATGTTCCTCTATTTTCTCAAAAAATGAGACTACCGATGAAGAAAATAGTTGAGAAGTAGTAGAGCATAAAGAAGATGAAGAGAAAGAAGAAGAGACTGGAAGAATTCCTCAAGAAGCCTCAAAAAACCACACACAAATCTCCAAAAGTCTGTCCCCGCACCTTTCTAAATTCTCCCATAATGAATATCAACCTCTCGCAATACCTGCAACATTTTCTCCAATACAACTATGCTTTTCTATGATGTCCATGGTGTCAACACCGCTCAACCGCCTCTTCAAATAGTATGCACCCAAAAATAAAAAACAATTCTTTTAACCTTTAGTCTGTACCACAAATAAAAAAAAACAGGTTAAAAGAGTTAATTACCCTGCAGGGAAGGCACGCTGGTCTCCTCCACTTCTGACTTACCGCAAAGTTTTAGTGACAAACTGAGTTGGGCGCATATGCACTCGAGAATAGGCACATTTGCACCAAAGAATGAGCGCTTTTGTGCCAAATTCTCTATCTTGGACGAATATTGGGCGTGTCTATGCACCAATGGGTGTGCTTATGCCCCCTCCTATTTTTAGGAGCGAAACAAAGGGTGTTGGCGTCTATGCGCCAAATAGGTCGTGCATATGTGCTACTTCTTCTGTAAGAACACATAATAGAACTCAACATAAGTGTTGGGTCCTATGCATCAAAGGAAGTATATTGTAAGGTGCCCATGGGGTGGTGTCTACTTAAAAAAAAATCTTTTCTTTTTCCAGCCCTCGTTGATGCTCTATGTGGAGGATTCTTGTGGACCTTAGAACCATTGGGGGACATCCATGAATAGAAATAAGTTCTACCACATCGTGGTGGACACTGCGGTGCTCCTTATTTAACAAAAATTGCAGCTTGGGGTCGAGGGCAACCGGGATTGTCCAAAACCCAATTTTATGCCCGAACGCTCGTTGAAGGGGTTTAACTTATCTGAAAGCTACGAGAAACCAATTCTGACTTATCGCAGGCAAAAGTGAAAAAAAAAGGTTAAAAGAGTTAATTACTCTGCAGGTAAGGCACGCTGGTCTCCTCCATTTCTGACTTACCGCAGAGTTTCAGTGACAAACTGAGTTGGGCGCATATGCACCCGAGAATAGGCACATTTGCGCCAAAGAATGGGCGCATATGTGCCAAATTCTCTATCTTGGATGAATATTGGGTGTGTCTATGCACCAATGGGTGCGCTTATGCCCTCTCCTCTATTTAGGAGCGGAACAGAGGGTGTTGGCGCCTATGCGCCAAATATGCCATGCATATGTGCTACTTCTTCTGTAAGAACACAGAATAGAACTCAACATAAGTGTTGGGGCCTATGCATCAAAGGAAGTCTATTGTAAGGTGCCCATGGGGTGGTGTCTACTTAAGAAAAAATCTTTTCTTTTTCCAGCCCTCGTTGATGCTCTATGTGGAGGATACTTGTGGATCTTAGAACCACTGGGGGACATCCAAGAATAAAAATAGGCTCTCCCACATCGTGGTGGACACTACGGTGTTCCTTATTTAACAAAAATTGCCGCCGGGGTTGAGTACAGCCGGGACGGTCCAAACCCCAATTTTTTGCCTGAACGCTCTTTGAAGGGTTTTCACTGATCTGAAAGCTACTAGAAACCACATATCCTTAAGATACCTTAACTCAAAAATGAACATTTTGGAAGTTTAAAACTGGGGATTTTGGTGCCGACGGGCGTACTCGATCCCCGTGAGGGTGGACTGGTCTAAACCATGGTTTTTCTGAAATGCGTGTGGGAGGAGGGTTCTGTGATTGCCCTTGACCACGGAAGGCTCCAAGCGGATGGAGCATGGCCTTTAAACACTAAAGTGGACATTAAATATGTCCCGTGTTAGAATTATCTTCACACAACAGTGAGCCTTCCCAGGTAGCATTGGATCAGTATCAATCTTAGTTTCGTGTTGGAGACATGTAACAGGCGGTCTTGATGAATGGCTTAGATTACAAGAGATTGTGAGGGAGTGAAATACAATCTCGTAACATTCAAGAGGACATCCCACACATGCGGCATTAAAAAGTGATGCCAACAAACGATCAACAATTTGGCTTAAATAAGCAATGCCTAAGTTGATTTTTTTGAAATGCAACCTTAAAAATGACATTGACTGAATTCCCCATGTCAATTAAAACACTCTATCTAGTAGTTGATAATTATAGTCGTGGTGACTTTAGTGTCACTGATTGAATTTTTGTTTGTTGTCTAATTTTTCTCAATAAAAGTGACTAGTGCTACTTCAATATGAGAGGCTTTGGCATGTTCGCTGAGTTTAACTCAACATATTAGACTTGTTTGTGGTTGTCCCATTTCGGCGGCTTGTACAATGCTGGTTAAGTAGTTTGTTTGAGCTATGAGAAATTCATTTTATATATCCTTCATGGCAACCTTCCATTATCTCCTCATTAGATTGGCAAAAACAAAACTAAGTTAATTTTTTTACTTGTATCAACTGCTCTATCAAAATCCCAAAATATAGATAATCTTCTATTTTATTTTTATGATCTATATGAAATATGTAATACTTAAATGTGCAAGCTCTCACCCTCACGGGTGTGGGGAATTTGAAGATATACTTAATTTGTATGCACTCTATTAGCTCGGCGATAAAATATTAGTGAGTAACAACCCAATAGTGATAAATAAAGGGGATCTCTCTTTGAGGTATCAATGAGTGAAGATCAATGTAGCTTCATTTAAATGGATTTGCATACCAGTGGCTCTCATTGTCTCTCAAACTATTGCGCCCTTTCATGTCAGCTTGGATAATCCCATTAGTCTTTTTATCTTTTCTTTACACCCTTGGGTAGGCTTAACATAAACAAAAGTCTTTCTATAGGTCATATGTACGGGCACATTTCATAGATACATGAATCCTTTTTCTCCTATTGTGTCCTATTTAATGTCATATTTTCATTTAATTATTAATATCATTTTTTTATACAATAAGCCGAAGTCTTTCTAAGTCTACCTCTGTCTTTCTTAACATAAGTCAAACTGAAATATCTACTCTCCAAATTGAATCATTACAGGTAACATTTCATAGGTTATTGGAAGAAAATGGTTCAACCATATTATTTTCTTAAGCATTCATTTTTGTGACTATTGGCTCGATCGAGCAGCTCTACCACTATATGCCAAAAGTGTGTTTGAATTAATGTTCTTTTAGGTCTGAAGTTAGAGCAGCTCAGACAACCCCTGGTTCAATGCCCATGGATTCCAACCATTTCCTCTAAAACCTTCCCGTCAAATTTTTGACTGATTTGCCATACTTTGCCTAATTTTTACAAGAACCTACAAATTCCATATCTACTTTTGAGCACTAGTACATTTAGTGACCTGCATACTATTTATCTGCACAAAACAAGTCATTACCCCCTTGCATAAGGTGCAAGAATCACCCAAGAGATGCCCCTCTTTAAAAGGACAAAAATATTACCAATGATATCCATATATGCTAATTGATATAATTGTGGTTACATTGTGATGAATGCCACAATACCACAATAATAACATCAATCCACACCTATCTGCACTCATTATCATTTTCTATCCGTTTAAAAGAGAAATAACTTGCAAGGCTTTGCCTTGTTAATGTCAGAAAATGAAATATCTAGCTCTAAATAAGCATCATGATCATTTGGATGCTCATAACCTCAACTCTATGCTCATCGCACCTTTCAAAATCTTAGATTTATACTCTTTCTTATTTTCTCACTCAATTACATACAAAATTCAAAACAGAAACATGATCATGCTTCAAATAGCAGAATTGGTAATTACTTCATGAAATGCTTCAGTGATACAAGAGAAGGAAACTCTGAACGCAAACTATTTGAGGCCTCAGTTTCAATTGACATCAACAGGAACTTCCAACTAGCCATTTCCACAGCTATACTGAAAGTTATCAGAAACAGGGTTACAGCTTAGACTACTTCAGTCAGATTAGTCAAAAAAAAACTTCTACGTAGGATACTTTAAAAAATACAATAAAAAACACAAAAAAAAGGGGATGAACTTTTAACGATTGGCGTTTCATCTGCTTCAATACAGCAAGTTTCTTCTGCTTCAAAGGCCCAGTAATATATAGTAGACTAGTGTGATAGGGAGAGCAATAAGCATGCCAAATATAACCCTGCAAGAAACATGCGCAATAAAAAAAAAGGTTAAAAATATATTTCACATTTCACAAAGCCTAAAATGCAGCATGAAGAAGATTCGAAGTTAAACCCTGTGCTCAGGATGTCAGGATGCACATTGTACTCCTTTGCAAAGACAAAAGGAACAATCCCTTGTGGTAGAGCAGCCTGCAAAAGAAAAAAAAAATTAAACATTTAAATCATAAATCTATTAATCTAACCACTCTATTCCAAGCAAAATTACCAGAAACTAAAGTCAGAGATTCAAGCATTATTAAGAATCAATACCTGCACAATAGCAATATGCAGGAGAACACCTCTAAGCCCAACAGCAATGGATGCCGCCGCCATCACCGCTGGGCCAGTCACAAATCGAACAGCCATAGCAAATGAAGCAACTCCATTCCCACAAGCAATAATCCTTGGCTGCAAAGCCATGAACAATCCTGCAAAAACCACAGAAAATACTCTAATACAAACAAGCACTTCAGTAAATTAAGGTTTCGATGTCAAAATTCAAACTTGTGAAGAGATCTACCAAGGCTAAACATTGCCATCCCAAGTCCTGCATCAGAGAGTATCGATATCGATCGAGCAATGATGGCAGGCATCTCAATCTCCCACCTATCAGAATAACAGCAATACACAAATGTTAAAACAATCTATATAGCACAATTATTTGGTTATCATGAATGGATTACAACCTGAAAGAAACCAAGGACCAAGTGAGACCAATAAGACTGGAGTAGGTATTGGGATTCCTGATGAGCTTCCTCCAGACCATTATCAGAATTAACCTGGTCATTACACTGGTTGGCGGCATTGCAGCCGGTTTCAACTCCCCGCCGCCACCTGTCCTCGGGTGCAGCTCTGTGGTCGAGTTTGATCCCAATTTCGACAAGCTCGGCATGTCTCGCTCTAAAGCATCAGCACCATGGGCAGTCGGTTGGTTTCTGAAACTGAAATCTTCTCTGCTATACTCATTATAAGCATCGCTTCCATCTGCTATCAACCAAATACAAATGCATCAACCAAAAAAATCAACTTTGAAATAGTTTTTCTGTAAAACCATGCAAAGAGACAAGATCAAAAGAGCAATGTAGTGCGAAGAGACAGCATTTGGATCCACAAACAGACATGAAAACACAGATGAAATCTTGTTAAAGAGTAAACCTTTCTGGTGACGGTGGTCGCCCATTTGAGCCACTCTTGCGTGCTCCCCTGCAAAATCTCCGCCGCGAAAGACATGGATGCCGCCCTCCGAGACAGGAGACGCACTTGAGCTCCAAACAAACATATGCAAATCTTTTCCTCCTTCGCATGAGTTCCCCTTCTTCCTAGCCCCTACCGGCGAGAATAAGCCACTAGCCGGCGGAGGAGGATACACCGCCGGAACACCATTCACTCTCGTCGCCGGAGCTTCTTCATCAAAACCCAAGTTTCCAAAATTTGAATGCCGCGCGCTGCCACCTGTACAGATCTTCTCTTTACCATGGAGTAGAAATCTGTGTGATTGAAACTGGAGCCCCTCGGCGTTGGATTCCGAGAAGATTGCAGAGAGTAAATCTCAGCGTTTGTGAGGTTAGATGGCCGGGGGGTAACAGAGTTCATACCATGTGAGCGCCTGGAGAAGATCTCAGAGCGAGAGCTTGTGGACTTGCGAACTGTTACACGGAGCTTACCGTCTTCTCCAACCTCGGCCTCGGTTTGAAGCGGCTCCTTACCGTCTAACGATATAATGTCTGAGTCAACTCGGAAGGAGATAATGGATCCGGCTGTGTCTGGAAACTGCTCTGCGATGAGAAGCCGAGCTCCCCTGTACTCAAATAGGAAGAGCATGAGAGTATACCAAATGATGCACTGGAGAACGACAATCTGAACCATTAGGCTTCCAGAGTCCGGTCCGTACATTCCTTTGAGAAGAGGAATGCCCATCACGAGGGTGTTTGGGAGAGTGGAGAGGGAGAAGAGAGTGATAGCCCACTCAAGGCAGCCGCGGCGGCTCAGATTAGCCCAGAAAGTGAGAGCACTGAGGACGATGAGTTTCTGCAGAGTGTCGGCGGCGATAAAGCGGTAGTTCATTGCGTAAGGGTTGTTGGTGGATATGAAGTGGAAGGAGAGTAGAGGAACGGCGAAGAGAGCGACGAAGCGATTGATGCCGGAGCACTGGTCAGGAGAGAAGATCTTCCACCACTTGACAGAGCCGTAAGCGAGGATCATGGCGACATAGAGAGGAACCACAGCGGTGAGGACATGATAGAAATCAGCCGCTGTGATCATTTTGGGAGAAAGATGAAGTTTTTAAAGTGAGGAAGGGGAGGCGAAGAGCCGGGCTTTAAGCCTTTTCTGTGAAATAGAGAAGGGTAGCAGTGTGAGGGAGAACAAGCGGAGTACGATTGTAACTGAAAAAAAGTTGGCGTCTTTGAGGTACGAAAGGAAGCAGGGGAGCTGAGACAGCTGGTTTTTCTTTCAGAATCCAAGAGCTGGAACAGAGATGGACAAACACAGGTGGCGGACAGCAAGGCAGGAGGATGAACGCCTGGTGGTTATGGTAAAAGTAGTCACAAGAAATCGACTTTGTAGCAGAGGAGATCAGCCCATTTCAGTGTTAGCTGAATGAGACTCTGTTCGATGGGGAAGGCCTACAAGAACTGTGAGTTGTTGAGAAAGAAGAAGAGCTGAGTCAGTAGAAACAGGGGCAAGGGGAGGGCAAGGGAGGGGAACGACGAATTTATTTCACATATCTCAATGTTGGAGTTTTTAATGGCAGACAAGAAAGAAAAGATCGGTTTTTAAGAGACGTCGGGAGTTGGGGTGAGCTCAGGCTCTGAGGCTTTTGTCTCAGTTGGAATTGAATGGGGGGAGATTTTAGCCAGCAGGATGGATTTTTTGAGGTTTGCGAGAAACTTTATTGTAAAAAATTGTAATGAGACTATTTAATCAAAAGTTTAATCCTAATTATTTTAGGGCTCGTTTGAGGCAACTTATAAGTGCGGGCGGTGCCGTACTATTTGGTTCGCACGTTTCGTCAGCTTATCTGAAACCGCATTTGAGTTTTTATACTAAACAAAGGTCTTGGGCTGAACCCCGTGGCCCGCCTGCGGGCTGCATTTCAGGATAAACAGCTTATCCTGAAGAAGGCCTTGGGCTGAACCCCGTGGCCCACCTGCGGGTTGTTTATCCTGAAACACACAAGTTGCCACAAACACAACCGTAATTTTTTCTAAGGTTTTTGAGGCAGCATAATATACATTATTTATGTATTATAATTGAGAGAATCCTGAACAGAGAAGAAGAGCAAATAAATAGAGATGAACAGAAAAAATTATATATGCATTTTAGCATATTTTTAGTCATTACATGAAGCCTGATTTTATAGAGATTGAACAAACTTGAAAATAAAAGTGAAGGGTAAGTAAATAAAAAGACTAATACAATATACAATATATATATATATATACTATTTGTTGTAAGAAATTCTTGTAATTAAATACTAAATGCTCGACTGCTGTTACAAGAGAAGGATGGAAAAGGGGTTTTTTTCCTCAGAGATCACAATTATGTTTCTTTACAATCTTTCAACCAAATGATCGGCTGAGTGGATGGTGTGCTTGCTTGTAAGAAGCCTATGGCATGTGGCAGGTAATAATTTTGTGAGTAGATCAGTTCGTTGGTCATCGGTCATGATATGTTGTAGATCAAGGTGTTGTAGCTTGAGGTGATCATGAATAAAGTGATAATTGACCTCGATGTATTTTTTGTGTGCGTGGAAACTGGATTGGAGGCTAATGTTATTGTCAACGTGCCAATGCAGTAGAGTTTGGTTGGTCTTAATTGAGTTTCGGCGAGTTCCTGAAACAATCTTCAAAGCTAAAATATTTGTATTGTAACTACGACTAGCGCCCTGCACTCTACTTCAGTTGATGAACGAGGGGCAGTTGGTTGTTTCTTTGAATTCCATGAAATCAGATTAAGGTCTAAATAAACACAATAGCCTGTAATTGATTTCCTATTATCAGCATGATTTTGCTTAGTCTGCATCAGCTTATGCATGTAGTTCAAGGTTGTTGAATTTAACTATTAACCCATGATTTAGGGTTCCTTTTAAATATTTGAGTAGCCTTTTTAGCATCTAAAAATGTTGAGTATTTGGATTATGCATGTTTTATCTTAAAAAATTAACTGTAAAAGTAATATCTAGATGTGTTACGATGAGATATTATAATGAGCCAATTAAATGTCTGAAACGGTGTGAATCAAACAATGGTTAAGGATTATTATTGATTGGTGTGTAGATAATGGAGTTAAAACGAGTTTTGAAATGAGCTATTAGCTTGTTTTAACCAAACATTTATATAATTTGTCTATGTAAGAAATAACCTTGATCATTTTTGTTTATTTGCAAACCTAGAAAAAGGAAAAGTTGATCAAGTTGTTTTAAGTAAAAGTGAGCTATTTCCGGTTATCAAAATATCAACTAATATATAAGAACAAAAAATTGAGTGCGATCATGTTGATAAATGAGTAAGAAAGGGTAGCTTTGCTTAATTGAAATTTTTGATTAAGAAGTAAACTGGAAAATGTGGAATACCATTACCTTGGTGCCTATTATATTCCGTAAATGGTTATTTGCAACTTACATACATGATAAGGTTATTGATTATCAATGAATCATGAGGGTTGTGACATATATAAAGTGTCATCTAATTTCCTATGCAAAAAGGCATTGAAAACGTTTGGTTGTTGAATTTTTCAGTTTTCTATAGTGGGTAATGTTATTAGCATATGATTGTGGAGAACTTAACAATAGAACTAAACATTTCATGATAATGTCTTGTTGTTGCTTGAAACATGAGGCTACAATGCGTGCTTTATAGAAATCAATACATCTTTTTGGTGTTATTTAATTTGAAGGCTCCATTTGCCTCCCAAAATCGTTTGATTGGTTGGTGGAGGGACAAGAATCCAAGTGCCTTGTTGTTAGAGAACCATGAATTCTTCAGACATGGCATTTCTCCAGTGGGAATGAGCAAAGGCTTGTTTGAAAGTAATGGGGGTGTTTATTTGATGTTGATGTAAAATGTTAAAAATTTTTGTGGGTTTTAAGTTACTCATTTTGGAACGGGTAAGCATGGAATGTGTAACGGGAATAGAAGAAGTGCTAGGAGGAGGTGGGTAATTCATATTAGAAGCTGGAGAGAGAGAGAGAGTTTAAGAGTTGAGGGGAGAAAGGAGTGAGAGTATTTGTTATGGTATGACTCATATACCATATAGGGACAGACGATGGAACAAAGCGGAGCAAAAGAATCTATCCAATTCGGAAAGTTACGTTATGTGGGTTGGGGCTATACGGTACGGGAGTAATTTGGAAATTACATATTGTACGGTAGGGTTTACTCTAGGATTATAAATAAACCTGTTTGTAATCCTAGGTCTTTGAGAGAGTTGAAACTTGTATTTTGTATTCATTTCTGAATATTGAAAAGGAAGTCGTCCTTCTGCTCCCGAGGATGTAAGCATCTTATCTGAACCTCGTTAAATCTCTGTGTGTTCATCTAGATTTGTGTTGATTCTTGTTTTTCTTCGCCCTAATTTCTCAACAAGTGGTATCAGAGCGAGGTTCAAGGATAGGGAAGAAAAATTTTGGCGGCGCAGGAATAAAGAAGATTTTTGGCCGAGGAGTTTGGCTAGCACGTCAGATTCGGCGCAGGAATTTGTTTCAGTGATTTGGCAGAGGAGTTTGGTGGCTAGCGCGTCAGATTTGGCGCAGGAAGTTGCTTCAGTGAATTCGACCAAAGCAAGGTTCGCGACAGTTCCGATACGCCAAAGAGGAGTTCGGTGGGACAAGGATTTTGGCGCAGGCTTCGTTTTTGGAATCGCGAGCAAAGCAGATTTGCATGTTACTGCGAACAGGCACAAAGGTTTTGACACATTTTGCAGAAGTGTTGCAGAGTTCTTCTGATTTCTCTACCGTTCACGACAGACAAAGGTTGTGAGCAGTTTGGCGACAGCTTCGGGAAATTGGGCAACACTACAGTTCGGACGGCTCGGCACTGGAAGGACGGGGTTTCAGTGCAGCAGTAGAAGAAGAAGAGTTCGCAAGTTCGCGGTACAACATGAGAGTTTGCTAGTTCACGGCTTCGGTACAACAGGAGAATTCATGAATTGCAAGAAGTCGCGATTGGCAGCGACAAGGTTCTTACAGAAGGCTGTTGGGCGGAAGGGAGGAAAGGAATCTTTCCTTTTGTGCGTGGATCTGAAAAGGAAGGAAGTTTTGCAAAGGAAGGTTCGACGCATTCGTGAAAGGGGTTCTCTTGGAGGAGAAATTGGAAGGAATCTTCCCATTTGTTTCCTTTGCTGGTTCGATCCTTTTCCTTTGGAGGCTGCTCGATTGGATTGGAAGGATCGCTATTTCCTTTGTTTCCTTTTGCTGCTGTGAAAAAAAAAATCTGGAAGGAATTTTTTCATTGCTGGTTGCGGAGAACTGGAGGCAGGATTTTCAAAAATTCCTTTAGCTCGAGGGGAGGCGACGGAATTGGAAGCGAAAATCCTTTGTGGGTACGTAGGAGGAATTCCGATTTGTAGTTGTGGGAACAAAAATTCTTTTGAAGGAGGCTGTGGAAGCATAATGGGAAGGAAGAATTTAGAGGAATATTCCTTTGCTGAAGGCGCTTTGGAAGGAATATTATTTGCTTAAGAATAATTCTGCTGGGAGGCGGGAGATTAAGACTTTCCTTTGCTGGGGAGGTCCTTTGGAGGCGGGGATTCGAATTGTTCTCTTGCTGGTTCGTGGAGGCAGAATATTGTTTCTTGAAGCGGAAGAATTGCACGATTTCTGCGATTTCCTTTTTTTTGCTGCTGCGGTAAAATCTGGAAAGCGGAGATGGAGCTTTTCTGGAAAGAAAGCGGAGAAAGAGCCTTTCTGAGAAGGAAATCAAAGTTTTTCTGGAAGGAAAGGGGAGCATTTCTTGGAAGTTTAAGGAAAATGATTTCTGAGAAAGTTTAATCAAGAAAAATTTAATTAAGGGAAAGTCCTTCTAGAAAACTTAATTAAGGATTATTTAAAAGATTTGTGACATCTTTGTCTAACCTACTTTGGGTATGTAAGAAACTCCATGATGTATTTCTCCTAAGGGGCTGAATATTCGCAAGGTGAATAAGAAAATAATTTTTATTTATCTTAATAAATGCTCGCATTCTATTTTGATGATAATATTATTTTCCTTGGCTAAAGGTTTCTATTTAGTTTATGTCTTGGAGTTGATTGGAGCCTTCGGTTATAAGTTTTGTTAGTTATGATTCATAATACCAGAATTTGGAGTCTCTTGGAATTTAGTGGGTTGAGATCAGCAAGGGCATAGCAGAAGCATGGTGGCCCAACCAACATTGGTACAGGTGTAACTCCCAGGTATCTTTTCTCCTAAGGGGCTGGATATTCGCCAAGGTGGAGATTTTTTATGGTATGAATCATAATCATATACCATATAGGGACAGACATATAGGGACAGACGCTGGAACGAAGTAGAGCGGAGCGGAAGAATCTATCCAAATCATGAAGTTACGTTATGTGGGTTGGGGCTATACGGTACAGGGGTAATTTGGGAATTACATATTGTACGGTAGGGTTTGCTCTAGGATTATAAATAAACCTGTTTGTAATCCTAGGTCTTTGAGAGAGCTGAATCTTGTATTCTGTATTCTTTTCTGAATATTGAAAAGGAAGTCGCCGCTCTGCTCCCAAGGATGCAGACATCTTTACCGAACCTCGTTAAATATCTGTGTGTTCTTTTGTTTTTCTTCTCCCTAATTTATCAACAGTAAGGTTATTTGTTTCAGCTTCTGGGTGAG